CTTACCCCATCACACAGCCTGGGTGCCCACAGCACCTGTGCTGTGTGTCCCTCCCAGCCCCTTTCCCTTCTTACACTGCTCCAATGGTACCTTTCAGAGAGACATGTCCACTTGTGTGCCAAAGGTATCCAGTCAGGAAACTCCCACTGTGAGTACTTCTGATCACGCCTGCAGGGATGTGCCAGACATCAGTAACAGCCCAGCCCAGCCCAGCCCCTGCCTGCAGCACAGGCAGCCCCACATCAAGGGACCTCAGCCCCTGCCCTTCCCCACATCCCCTTCTTGACCTGGCTGACATTCTTGATGTCAGTCCTGATGCTCCTTTGCCCTCATGCCTCTAGTAGCAACAGTACCCAGGGCACCAACAGCCGCCGCTCCCCACAGCCCATCCCGAGCCCCCCACTCACACACTGCAGGTGAGGCTGGAGCACTTCTCCACTGGGGCCATGATGGAGTTGTGGAAGCCGTTGGGAGCAAGGCCTCGGCACTGGGGCTTGGATCTCTGGGCACAAGAGCAGATTCAGAGTGGGGACCCAGCCAGGGCTGCCTCTTCTTGCCCAAATGTTCCCGTAGGGGACCTGCGGGTCCTGCAGCCCACAAGCACAGAGGTCCCCCCAGCCTCAGCAGTCACCAAGACCATGTCATGATAGGCTAAAGATACAAAGTCCCACTCTGGGGACTTCAGTGAACTAGAGACAATCTCCAAGACCTCGTCTTTACCTCCCACCAGCTTCAAGAAGACCTCAAGATGCCCACACCCTCTCCCAGGAGTACCTGTTTTCCTGTCCCCATCCACCCCCACTTAGAGCTGCCTTTGCCCACACTTAAGCCCAAATTCATGGCTGAGAGGCAAAGTACCATCCCCAAGTCCTGCTCCAGGGCTGTCCTGCCCAAACAGCTGGGGCTGAGGACACCAGAAGACAGCTGAGACACTTTGCCAGGCTAAAAGTAGAAGTGGAAAAGGCAGAGACCCTGCCCTTACCCCTGCAGATGATGTCTTCCCACTGTGTCCTCGGAACACCTCCAGCTCTGGCTCTGACACTTCACTAAGTGGTTCTTCACTCCCTTCCTCCTCCTCAGCCTGCAGCAAGATCTCCTTTGAGGGCACAAAGTCAGCATCTCGTGCAGGGTCATCACTATCTGTTTCATCCTCCTTCCTCCTCCGGCTCCGACGCTTCTTCTGGATATTCTCAAGCTCTGGCTGTGGCTCCTGGGCACCCTCGGTGGGACCCGGAGGCTGGTACACTGATGTCAGCTCCTCTGCCAGCTCCTGCAGGTACAGCAAAGCCCTGGGACACCAAAGGCATTGCCCAGAGGTGAGTGGAGGCACCACACAGGGCCCAGCCAGCCCTCCCTCCAGGACCAGGAAGATAAGCTGCTCCAGCTCATGGTCTGAGTAAGGAACTTTCTCTAGCCCTGCCCAGCCAGGCTGCAGTGGAGTGAATGTGGATGCACTGCCAGCCTCTGGGCCACTTGGGCAGACAGCATCCCCTGCCCCTTCATAGGGAACACTAGCCTCCTCAGGGCTTCAGCAGCAGGCAGGGAATGCATCCAGCAGGCAGAGCAGTGCATGGCCCTTTGCCAGCCAGAAAGCCAGAGATCTTCCTGTGAGTGTGCTCAGCAAAGGGAATTCCTGCACTGGGCATGCTGCTGCAGGCACCACACCCTTCCTCTGCACAGCCGAACGAGGGGACTTGGGGCGCTGCAACCCCACCAGCTCTGCCCTTGCAGCTGCAGGTCTTGTGCAGGCACTTGGAGAGCACAAGCACTGCCTGAGCTGCCTTCAGAGCAACCAAAGCACAAAGGCTCCCCGGGGTAGCAGACAGGCTCCTCCAGGACTGCCCTTTAAGCAGTGGGGGCTTGCACACCTTGTTCTGCTCCCTCCCTGACAAGCCTCCTCCTGGCTTCATCAGGAACCAAGGAAATCTCTTCCTCTTTGCAGACAGCCCACTGTATGCAAGCCCATCTAAGCCCCTGCTGTTTTCCCCACCCTTGCGCTCCTGGATCCAAACACCTTCTCCTAAAGTAGGAAAAGGTCATTCCATGGAGAATCAGTCTATCCCACCAACGTGAGACAGTCTTTCAGAAGACAGCGGGATCCCCCAGGCGAGGTAGAGGTCTCCATGAACCCCTCTAAGAGCAGTGTCTGCTCGTCCTTCCCCATTTCCCTGCAGGACCCCCTCCCAGACCCCTGCTTACACTTTAGCTGCTCGCCTCTTGGGGCCCTCTTGGGGCGCCCGCCGGGGGGGGTGCCCAGGCCTTCCGCGGTTTCGCTGCTTCCCAGCATCTTCTGCACACAGATGGGCTCTGGGGTCGGGCACTCCAGGTCCTGAGACAGTTTCAGCAGCAGCATCTCTGTCTTGGACTTCTGTCCACGCTTCCCAGGTGCCTTTGGGGGCAGCACAGCCCCGTTCTCAGAAGTCCTCGAGGGCTCACCATGACCCTCAGTCTCTGCAGTGACTGGACCATTGGGGTCACGGGGACTGCCTTTGGGTTTTTGATTTCGGATAGGTCTTTTTGAGGACTTGGCAGCTTCTACTCCCTCCTCAGAGTGGGCCACAGC